ATGAAAGGACGACGCTACGCTACGATTGAGGAGATAAAGACGGCATCGAAGGAGGAGCTGAACAAGATCACAAAAAATAATTTTTTGAAGTGCTTCGAGGATTGGAAAAAACGTTGGCACAAGTGTATAATATCTGATGGGGATTACTTTGAAGGGGACAAAATAGATATTCATGAATAAATAAATAATTTTTGAAAAAACACAAAATTCGCGATACTTTTTGAACAGACCTCGTATGTTCTGTGGAGTCAGTCATGACAGCTCGAAATGTGAAACGGCCAGAAGTATAGACTTGGAGAAGAGAATTCAAGCTGTAAAAGACAAACAGATTTATTTTAACTGTCTGAAAGTAGGACAACTACAAAAGATGCCGTAACAAAGTAAAATATCCTTGGTGCGGCAAAGGATATTATCTGTTGATGTGTAGAAACCTGTCAAGCAAGAACGAGTCAAAGCAAGCGGATGAGAAGAAGCCTGATGAATCAGTTTTTCACGAGGAAAAATTCTCTCGCGAATGTCTCTTCGAATGCAAAAATGTTCCTGCCTACTTAAAGTCAAAATGTGAGATCCAAAAGTAAATATTCGCGCCATCGTAGATACTGGCTCACACAGATCTTATGTTTTTGAAAAAGTAGCCAGATAATCCATGGATGGATATACTTGAGAAAGGATATACATTTGAACGACATCGATGAACGTCAAGAGTCCATTTTTGTATTGAAGTTGATGTTGCTGGCAAGACATTCACTGGTAAAGTTCTGTAGATCAAGTAATAATGGCTTTAGAAACTAAGCGTGGTTGGACAATCTTAGGTAGGGATGTAGACGATAATAGCGACACCGATACTACGTTGACGATTATATCAATGTTCACTCAAGAAGCTAACATCAGACTTATGGAGACTCGATGTTTTGGGCATTAAGGATCCTATCGAGAGTATTACAAAGGAGGCACATCAAGCTGAAATAAAGACCTCATTTCAAGAGACAACGAAGGTTGATGTGAAGTTCTTCTGTTATGGAAAGAGAATCATCCACCTTTATGAGATAATCGAAACATAACCGAGAAAAGACTAAAAGTTACAAAAGATTGCGACAAGAAGATTTACTTGACGACTACCAGACTATCTCGAATAGTTGGCTTGAAAAAGCGATCATTGAAAGAGTACCTGCTCGAAGTCGACCAAGACTACTATTTTCCACGCAGGTAGTCAAGAAAGAAGGAACGAAGATACGACCTGTTTTCGATGCGTCAGCAAAAGTCAAGGAATCGCCTTTGCTTAATCAATGTTTGGAGACTGGACCTAATCTCATAAAGCTCATTCCAGCATTGCTACATCGATTTCGAGAAAGAAAGATAGGAGTAACAGCTGATATCGCAAAAACCTTCTTACAAATCAGCGTCTCTCGGATAGAGATGTTTTGAGATTCCTGTGGTGGAGCGTTGACGGAGAAATAGAGATTTATCAACATCGTCGAGTTCTCTTCGGATTGACAAGCAGCCCATTCCTTTTAAGGGCGACGATTGAATTGCATATTAGCAGACACTTAAATTCTACCATTTTGCCATATAAAAAATTAGTTTATGAGAAACATGCAAAATCTTTTTATGTGATCGATGACTGCGTCACTAATGTCGATTCTTATTTTTATTTTGAAATTTTCAGGAGAGAAGCCTGTTCCCTTTTGTTCCAGGCCAAATTTGACTTAAGAGATTGGAGATATATTGGCGGGGATTCTGAGAATCAATCGACGGTGCTTAGACTTATATGGGATACCAAAAGGGATACTTTAATATTATCGGAATTTTCTGCACCGATCACGGAAAAGATAACAAAGAGGGTCATCCTGTCGCAAGTACAGAATGTTTACGACTCTCTCGGATTCGTTTGTCCCATACTGTTAAAATTACTATTGCAAGATCTATGGAATAAAAATGTGGATTGGGATACAGAAATCGACTACGACATTAAGCATGAATTTCTTGAATGGGTTTAGCAACTAGGTCTTCTACATTGAAATTTCTACGATGGATTTTTGGAAAGAAAAGAGGTCACTTTCATGTTTTCGTCGACGCCATACGCGGCAGCAATCTTCGTACGAGTTGAGTCAAGCATAGGAGTCGAGGTACATCTCGTAGAAGCCAAATCAAGAATAGCACTCAAGGAAAAGAAGACTATATCTCGCCTTGAGTTACTAGCTACTCCATTGGAGCTAGGATGATGCAATCCTTCGTTAAGACTATGGATTATCAAGATATCAAGACCTATTTCTGGAGTAACCCGATGATCGTTCTAATATGGATTCGACAAATGACAATGGGCAATTTTTGTATGGAATCGTGTTTTGGAAATAAGCAGCCTTACGGATGTTGAATCTTGGAGATATGTTCCTGGAGTCATGAACTCAACGGATTTACCTTTCCGAGATGATGCTAAGAAATTCCTTGAACTGAGATGGTGGGAAGGACCGGAGTGATTGAAGCTGCCTCCTGAAGAGTGGCCCAAAGAAGAAGGAAAAATTGACGAGAACATGGTTAAGTTATGTAAGACTTCCGGACGATGCAAAGAAAGAACATCCCCCGAAATTACTGCCGAAAAAATCGTGCATAAATATGCTAAACTCCGTAGAACAAGCGAGTGCAGGGGCAGTCCCCTAGTATTTGCAGAGACTTTCGATGTATTCCAAAATTTTGTGTACCGTCGCATGGATATTAAGATTTGTGAACTGTCAAAGAGTCCATGTAAACAAAACTCAAGAGTTAAGAAATGCCAAAGAAATTACTATAAGGCAGAATTGCTTCTCTGTAGACTAGCACAGAAAGAATCATTCCTAGGAAGCAACGATTCACGATTACGAAGTTTAAATGTTTTCGAAGAGAATGGACTAATACGCATAAAGACAATGATCTCCAATCTTCAAGATACCTTTTCTTTCAGATGTCTCATAGTATTGGACTCAGTTCATTTATTGATGTTGAAAATTATTTTTCATATTCATCTGAAACTTAATCATGATGGTATTGACATTGTGATGAATAATTTGCGCGAGGAGTTTTGAGTTTTGTAATGCCGTCGAACGGTACGCTCAGTCATAAGAAAATGTTGCATTGTTTGTCGTCAGTATGCATCGAAAACGATGAAAATACCGTTGGATTGTTATCTGAAAACAGAGTGAGAGATGCTGCAGCGTTTGAAGTGATAGTCTACCGTGCAGTCCACTTTGAGTTGGTTACATCCCTATCAACAGAGGAATTCCTGGAGGCCTTCAAAAAAATTCATTGCACGTGGAGGAAGACCTGCTGTAGTGTATAGCGATAATGGGAAAATTTTTGTAGGGGCTAAGAACCTATAGTACTGCAGAAAATTAATTGGCGGAAAATTTCTTAATATTGTGCCCTTAATGAGATAACATGGCATTTAATCCACCTTCAGCTGCCTGGTGGGAAAGATGGTGAGAGCAACTTATCCATCTCCTTAAAGATCTACTGAAAAGGACATTAAAAAGAACTTTGTTGAGCTACGAAAAAATAAACACTGTTCTATGCGACTGCCAAATGAATGCTACTATGAATTTAAGATCTCTTACTTACTTGACAGAGGAAAATACTGAAATCACAGCACTTACTCTAGCGATGTTTATCAGTGACATTCCAGACTTTGATCAAATTTACCAGTCTCACTTTGCAAAGAGGATACGCTATCGGAAAAAAATTTAGAAAACGTTTCCGTATATAGTATACTTGGGTCAATTAGAACTAAACCCAACAATAGTCCCACACCTGTAGAAAATGTCGTGCTTATCGAAAACAATTTGCAAAAACGATTGGACTGGCCGCTCGCCATCATTAGAGAAGTCTAATCGTCAATAGAGAAGTCTCCCGGAAAAGATGATTATATGCGGGTGATAAAACTGAAAACGAGAAATGAAGAATTGATTCGACCCAAAGACTTCCTTAGGAAGTGAGACTCTAGTTCTGAAGTTAATAATTTTATCGAGTCTACTACGACGTCAGAGACTACTAAGGGACCTGCAGCTACTACCCTTGGAATCCATAGCTATCCCAAAGGAAGAACCAAAACCGTTGGAAAAAATGAGCTTGAAGACCCGCTGTTCTCGTCATTATAACTATAATATACTTTTACCGTTGTTACTATGGACAATCCGAGCCGTATGCTCCTTTTGTGTTTTAATAAAGTAGCGTGTTCGTGTATAATACAAAGAAGTGTCTTATATTGAGAACCTTACGATCTCGAAATCGGGGCTGCAATACCGTGAACGTATTGATACGCGATACAATTAATAAAGGAACTAAAACTTCTGATTATTAATTGCTGTATACAATTTCTTTTTTAAATTTAATTCTTAGTTGCTAAATAATTAATTAATAGTGATTAATAATAACGAATTATTAAATTTATAAATCAATCAAGTGTGCGTGAAACGTTATAAGCAGAATTGGGTAATGCTAAGTTAAAAAGATAAAAGTCAATTGTTTTCTTGATTCATTTTTTTTTATTATCCACACTTCCTGTTTCTTAAAAAGTTTACACTATGTTTGAAAAAACAGAGAATGAGGGATGGACATGATCGAGAAATCTTTCAGCATACAAACGTAGTGCTTCTCTCATAATTTGACGACATTCACCACGAAAATCATCTTTTTCCGCTTTCGTATAACGCATTTTGCAAGACACGCACTTTGATCAATAGATGAATTCAAATTGATCAGTAAATATGGATAATGCTATGTGCGATTCAATTTAAACGGTATGTAAATATTTATGTACACTTGAACGATTAGCAGTATACCAACAAGAAGAGAAGACACGAAATTATTCGATGAGTGCCTTGAAACAATTTATTTTCTATTACATACATTCAATTATTTTCCATTATTGACTTTGCATAATCTTGAATGACCTTCAATTATAGGTCATTGTATTTGTCTTAAAATGCTCTATCAGAATGTAAAAAAAACATATCATTTCATTTAAGAAAACAGATTTGACCTTTGCCTCCTGTACGCCTGTATCTATAAAATAATTATTGATATCACATTATGTGCTCCTCGAAACCAAGCAACTTTTGTTTTTCTCTTATTGTTAAAAACAAGCGAGTTATTCAGGTGACCTATTTTAAATGGCCCTCCCTGTATATGGAACGTTGCTAAGAGTTTCGCTTGGTTCTTTGACGGCGCTAATTTGATTTACTGAGCACATTGTTGTCGTTGCATTTTGCACGAATTGCGTCTCTTTCTCAAAATGGAGTAGCGAATTGTGTTTGCTATTGCATTTTCGACACATTCCAAAACCGCAATTTTTTAGAAAATAACCTCTTCTAAGGCAGTCTGTACTCAACTTAAAATGTTTGACCTTTGCAGTTCTTTCTTGCAGGGTTAACTTTAAAAATGAGTTATATTTTTGAATATAATGCTCTCCCTTGCAAAGAGCACAACTTATCTTGCCAAAAATGCACTCATCTTACCTGATGTCGCCTTTTTTTATTTGACTGTCCTGTTTTTCCTTTCTACTGTTTGTAGCAATATTACCCTAGCACGCAACGACTTTATCAAATCCTCAAAGGTTGGTTTACCTGATAAAAATAACTTCCGTTGTTCTCATTCGCGGGCAGTATCACTGTCCAATTTAGTAACAATGCAATAAATAAGTAACGAATCCAAATGCTCTTATAATTTCCTTAGCGCGCGCGTATGCTTGGTAAAGCTCAACTATATCATTTAATTATGCGGCCGACTCACTATTTATAGCTTTTATTTTGAACATGGCTTTAATATAATTTTTTTATTACAGCAATATATAGTTATGTAACTGCGTTTGCTGGAAACTTAATTTATTAAGTATTATTTGTACTATGTTCAAAGTAAACAAACTTTATCAGTAAAAACTTTATACTGTTTACTACTGCGAAAAAAATATTAGAAATTCGAAATATTTATTTTTTGTATTAAAAAATGAACTCTTTGAAACCCTTACATTTTTCCTGTTTATATCCATAAGAGTGAGATATACGGTTACTTATAGGGAGAAGGAAGGAAGGGAGGCTATGTACAGCTAATGCAAAATTTGCAAATAATGCATATAAATAAGACAAAAACGATAACTTATACAATACGTTTATAAAAAAAGCTTTATTAAAGAATAAGAATGATAAATATATGTATAAAATAATAGATAATGATTACAATCTTCCTATAATATATTGCAAATGTTATAACATGAGATACTTATTTGATGTAAAATGTTATTGCATTTAGTGCACTGAATTCAATCTGCGCACTTTGGGCATAAATTCCGCCCGCTAAAAATGCCGTATATCCCAAACAGATGGGACATACAAGACAACAAACTAAATAAAGAATACAAAAGCACTTGTATTTTGCTATACAATATGTTTTACTATTTCTCTACACGTATGTAATCACTGAGTCTTTTACACGCCTTATAAAGTAATGATTTTATTTACAATAAATTATAATTTATGGCGCGACTTATTACAGTGACAAATCGATTTAATTCACAATAATTTCATTAATATTAACAGTAAGAAGCTGAAATCATATTACATACTAATATAATAGATGTAATACAGAGTAGTTGTGGTAATATTATCCCCATTTCTTCTATTTTTTCTGACATCTGCGGCATGAATCCCAGCGCGGCTATTTGTCGGAATTACCCTATTATATGATTTTGATATTTATAAGGGAAATAAATAGAAAAATCTGAGTTTACGTAACCAACTATTTAGAATATATAGAATTTATGCTTTATTCTGGCAAATGGATTGTCTCAATCATCAAATTTCCATCTTTATTTGTTTCATTATGTAATTTCTATATTTTTCCTATCATCTCTCTTATAAGCTTTAAAATCATAATTCGAAAGTCTCATGATATTTTTATAAATTATTCAAATGTGAGAAATTTCTTTCTGTTTGGAAATATATAATACCGGAATTCATTTATACGTAGGCTGCTGGAAAAGTTTCTGCAATTTAGTACTTCCAGTGACGCCAATGTTCTGCTACTATCATATCCATAAAATTAGACATTTTTAACCTATAATTCAATTGACAGTTTGTACCCAAGCCAACTAGTTTTGTTTGTATAGTATTTTAAAAGAAGTTATTTTGTAAGAAAATGTGTGGAAATTTCGCGTGAAAATTTACGGGCAATGATTTTTTATGATTACAAATGTAATCTAACTCCGAAACAATGCATCGATCGACTTCATTTGGCTTTTGGGGATAAAGCACCATCCAATAGAACTGTTTATAATTGGTTTGCCGAATTCCAGCGTGGACGTACCTTTCTTAATGATGAATTCCGTGAAGGTCGTCCATCCATGTCTGTTGTTGCCACTAATGTTGATGCTGTGCGTGAAATGATTGAGCGAGACCGGCATATAACATACCGCGAGATTCAGGCATCCTTAGGCATTGACATGAAAGCAATACATACGATTTTGCATGATCACTTGAGCGTACGGAAACTTTGTAGTCGTTGGATCCCACACAATTTGACCGAAGCTCAAAAACA